CATGGCCTTGGCCGAGTCAATTTTTTTTATTTTTTATTTTATTTTATTTTTTTATAGCCGTTCGAACCGAGTTCTTTGAAAACTAGGCTGACGGGCTCTTCCGTCGGGGTTGGTACGCGAGGTCGGACCTCGTTCCCCCTTAGGGTATGTTAGCCGCGATAGTCGAGTCCTTGTTGGACTAGACCCTAGGGCTCCTTCGTCGGGGTTGGTACGCGAGGTCGGACCTCGTGCCCCCTTAGGGTATGTTAGCCGCTTGAGCCTAGTCCTACCGGACTACGCCACCGGGCTCTTCCGTCGGGGTTGGTACGCGAGGTCGGACCTCGTGCCCCCTTAGGGTACGTTAGCCGCTTGAGCCTAGTCCTACCGGACTAAGCCACCGGGCTCTTCCGTCGGGGTTGGTACGCGAGGTCGGACCTCGTGCCCCCTTAGGGTGCGCTACCCGCATGAGCTAAGTCCTGCCGGACTAAGTCACCGGACTCTCCCGTCGGGGTTGGTACGCGAGGTCGGACCTCGTGCCCCCTTAGGGTGCGCAAGCCGCTTGGGCCGAGTCCTACCGGACTAAGCCACCGAGCTCTTCCGTCGGGGTTGGTACGCGAGGTCGGACCTCGTGTCCCCTTAGGGTGCGCAAGCCGCTTGGGCCGAGTCCTACCGGACTAAGCCACCGAGCTCTTCCGTCGGGGTTGGTACGCGAGGTCGGACCTCGTGCCCCCTTAGGGTATGCTACCCGCATGAGCCAAGTCCTGTCGGACTAAGCAATCGGACTCCCCCGTCGGGGTTGGTACGCGAGGTCGGACCTCGTGCCCCCTTAGGGTGCGCCTGGGGAGGTCGGGTGAGTACTCGATTCTTACAACATCGTTGGAGGGACTTGAAACGTAGTTGGAGGGGACGTTCCACCTCTTAAAATGTTGTAGGATGAGACGTCCCACCTCTTGGAAGATTATTGGAGAGGACGGATGACCTCTTGAAACATCATTGGAGAGGACAGATCACCTCTTACAACATCTTTGGAGGGAACAGACCCCTCGGTGGACCGGGTAGGTCCCTTTGTGGACCTCATCTATGACTGACACCTAATGTAGCAAGGTGTCATTGGAGGACTTCTTGCAGTGTATATCACGGGGGACTATGTAGGTTCTCCCCACCGGCTTGGCTTCAACCTTGTCAAGGGGCAAGCAACCCATAACATGTTCTTCCGTTAGGTAGTGAGTGGGGCGTCCCCCATGTACTACCATTAGGTAAATGACAAGGACGGGGGCGGCACGCACGACCGCAACCATGGGTTAATAAGAACATATGTCAATATTTGAGCTCCTGGGGTTCGGGGGAGCCGGGTGCTCGACCTATCACGCCCCCTTGGGAGGGGCAGGGTAAATGTAGGTACCCCTCGAGAGACGTCGGGGCCAAGCAAGAGGGCTCGGACACCTCTTTGGAGCCCCTCAACGGGGTGGGTCGACAAGGTGGTAGCTTGTTGGGGCGCGACCATCCCCTCTGGGAGCTCGTTCATTCGTTACGGAGCTGCTCGACCTCGTCATGATTGGTGCTTGGAGCTCGACCATTTGTTTCCCGACCTCTCAACTTGGGAGGCCTACTCGCGTCACGGCGGAGCTCGGGGCCCGCGGCTTGGCGACCTTCTGGGACATGATTCCTCCGCTTGTAGTGCGTTAGGGGTTGGCCTTGGGCCCAACCTATCTCAGGCCGACACGCGCATGCCCAGCCTCTTAAAGGCGGGCCTAACATGGGTCGACCTCCCTCTATCACCCTCTCGATGGTGATCTTGGCGGATGTCACCCCCTCCCCGCGTGTCCGATGGTCGGGGTGAGTTGACATCCTCTTCGATTTGAGTGTTGAGTGCCCGAGGTAGTCGGGTGCTTGGACCAGTGCGCCCCCTTGAGGGAGGTGGAGGCGGGGTCGGCGTCCTTTGTTAAATGGCCTCCAGACTATCGTGTGCACCTCCTTGGGGACCCTCTGTGAGGTGAGCCAAAGTCGTAGAGGATTGCTAAAGGGTAACCGCCCCCTCCTGTAGCGGGGCGAGATTTGGAGGAGGGGTGATGGAAGATGGAACCCCACCGCTGCGATGGTTGGTGAGGTGATCTCTCAAGTCCCCGACCTGGTGGAGGCGGCCGACTGGAGGCTGGGGGCCTCGTTGGGGCCGTTCTCGGTTGCGGCGAGCTTGGTGCCACGGGAACCGTTGGTGTGGTCGAGAGTTGGATCTCGACCTTATCATGGTAGCTGGTCGCGGTAGACCACTAGATGTAGAATACGCTTGAGCTGGTACAACAGCTCTCAACAAGAGCACCAATGATGGAATTAATTGACCCGGGGTAGACCCGAATCAATGAATCCGGATAAGTATACGTACGAAATAAATAATATGACACAGAGATATAATAAGGTCGCGGGGACCGTAGGTCGCAGGGACCGTATATTGTATTAATTATCGCTAATAAGCTATTACAAGGCTTGATTAGGACAATAAGGCTAGAAGATAGCAATTCAGGAATCTGTTGTGTTGTGTCGTCGTGTCCCTGTTTAGGACAAGAGGGATGCTTTTTATATCAGCTCAAACCCCCCAACCGCACCCCTAGGATCGGGGTTAGTTGGATCGGTCCGCTTTGACCGCGTCCCCCCGGGACCGGGTCCAAGGCGGGCCGACTCGGCAATGATGGAATTAACAAGAGCACCAATGATGGATCGGTCAACAAGAGCACCAATGATGGAATTAATTGACCCGGGGTAGACCCGAATCAATGAATCCGGATAAGTATACGTACGAAATAAATAATATGACACAGAGATATAATAAGGTCGCGGGGACCGTATATTGTATTAATTATCGCTAATAAGCTATTACAAGGCTTGATTAGGACAATAAGGCTAGAAGATAGCAATTCAGGAATCTGTTGTGTTGTGTCGTCGTGTCCCTGTTTAGGACAAGAGGGATGCTTTTTATATCAGCTCAAACCCCCCAACCGCACCCCTAGGATCGGGGTTAGTTGGATCGGTCCGCTTTGACCGCGTCCCCCCGGGACCGGGTCCAAGGCGGGCCGACTCGGCAATGATGGAATTAACAAGAGCACCAATGATGGATCGGTCAACAAGAGCACCAATGATGGAATTAATTGACCCGGGGTAGACCCGAATCAATGAATCCGGATAAGTATACGTACGAAATAAATAATATGACACAGAGATATAATAAGGTCGCGGGGACCGTAGGTCGCAGGGACCGTATATTGTATTAATTATCGCTAATAAGCTATTACAAGGCTTGATTAGGACAATAAGGCTAGAAGATAGCAATTCAGGAATCTGTTGTGTTGTGTCGTCGTGTCCCTGTTTAGGACAAGAGGGATGCTTTTTATATCAGCTCAAACCCCCCAACCGCACCCCTAGGATCGGGGTTAGTTGGATCGGTCCGCTTTGACCGCGTCCCCCCGGGACCGGGTCCAAGGCGGGCCGACTCGGCATGGCCGAGCTCGGCACGTGCCGGACTCGGCCTAGCCGAGTCCACCATGGACCGGCTCGGTAGTGGCCGAGTCCATGGTGGCCGGCTCGGGTATACCGAGCCCATTTGTGGCCGGGCTCGGCCCAAGGCCGAGATGCTTTGGGCCGACCCGGCCACGGCCCAAGGGCTTGGGCCGAGTCTTCTCGGTTCCGTCTCTCCGGGTCAGTTCGTTCCGAGTCCAATATATCCATCACTTAGATTGTGACATTGTGTGTAATGTTTTATTTTTACTTTTTCGTGATTCTAATTGTAAAATATTGAATTTGTACTCAAAGAATATGTTTATTTATGTTTGTCTTAGCACTTTATTTGTGAGGTAAATGAGTATCCAATGCATACTTGAAGGAGACGTGGAACAAAGACCCTCTTGGCTCTTGCTTCTCAAAGACATGTGACGACTCCATATATAGTATACATTAAAAGTTGCACCACACACCCTGCCAAGATTTATTATGTCATCAATTAACTTTGACGATGAATTGAATTGAACCTTCCAACCAAATTTCCAAACTGTATGAGATCAGAGCACAAATATATCAATTAAAGAAAATTCGAAAAAGGAAATGTGATAGCTAGGCATATGCAGCTTAATTATAATTTATTTTGCAATGAGGACATCAAGTCATACATCTTATAATTCACAACGTAACATTAATTGGTATAATTCACGACATTAATTGGTAAGGAAGCATATGTTTAATTGCATGTGGACGGTTAAGATAAGCTGGATTTATTGAACAAAGACAACAATGACCATTAGATTTCCACATGTCAAAAGAGTTCCATTCACAACACCTAATGTTGTGGATCGAAAAATATTTTTTATTCATTTAATTATTCCTTTTAAAAATTCCTAAAATAATTAATGTGATTTATGCTTGACATGATACACTAAGTAAACTTAATCATAATTCCCTAAGAATTAGCTACACATTGTCACAATTGTATATATAGCTACTAGAATGAAGCATCAATGAATCAAAGCATGGGAAACAAAAGTAAATTGCAATTGAATGAAATGAACAAACTTAGCTTCAAGAACGTACAATTTTGAATCTTCAAGTAAATATCCAATCAATTGTAATTTGAATCTCCCTAGAATCCTCAGATTAATGTGTTAGGTTGCTCCAAGAACACTAGGCCAGGGAGCTGAGGATTCTCTCTCTAAAATCTAAAGTCCAAAATGTCCATTATTGTTGTCAGACATTAATTTTAGGTTAAAAAAGGAGGGGTAATTTTGACTCCATAACTATTTTTTTTTTCTTCTTAAAATCCCAGAAATTAAAATAACAAGGGGATATGCAATTTTAATTTCATGAAAATGGGAGAATTGCAATTCCTTTCAACCAAACAATGGAGTTTTGTGGCCTTTGGAATTATGTGAGAATTAAGTGGGATAAATTCCCTTCAACCAAACATATTGAAAACTCCTTGTCATTCTTTTTGGTATATAAAAAGGCAAGTAAGATGGCTGGCCTCCAATAATCCAGATATTGAACCACCAACTCCGTCGTCCATTAGTACGTCGTGAAGCAGCTAGCTAGCAGTACGTTCTTCAGGTTCAATCTCTCTTTTACCCTAAATTATATTATATTCTTCCTAATTTCAGCTGGCTGCTCAGATATACATACATGATTTTCTTCTACCACTTCATCATACTATACCTCATTAAAAAGAAAGAAACAAAAAACAAAAATGTTTAATTTTTTTTATTTTTTTTATTTTATATATGACAGGCTATTAAGCAACAGTGCAGCTGTAAAGATTAGATAGGAGTATCCTTGTAATTATATGCATGGTCATTCTTGTAATATCATCTCTTGATGAGTTGTAACAAACAAATTAACCGTCATCCTTCCCCATATATCCCCTATATCTTTCCCAGAACCATTGAGTTACTTTAATAACTTCAAGATGAATACATACACAGCTATTTCACTTTATGTTCTCTGCTATTGCATCGTCTGAACCTTCAATCCCATACGTCAACACAGGCAAGCAGGCAGGGTAGGAATTGAATTATATATTCTTGAAGATGTTTGGTAGGCCGGGGATGATCATCAACTTCAAATGTTTGATATTTTTAAGTTTGACGATGTCTACCTTGTTCCACACTCATGGATGTAAGTTTTAACTCATCATTATCATGATCTCCTCTCTCTCTCTCTCACTCTCTCTCTCTCTCTCTCTCTCTCTCTCTATATATATATATATATATATATATATATATATATATTGTTGTCTTGGACAGAATGAAGTAACTTTTAGTTCTTATATTTTATAATTAACAGGCAGTATATCATCATTCGGAAGTGAGAAGAAATTAAATATCACTGATCTTTGCAGTCTTAGAAGCAGCTCAAATGGGCAATGTTGGTGCTGTTTCGCTGGAAAATGTTGGAAAACCAAACAACATTGCGAGGAAGATTGCAACCAACAAGGCACCAACAAGCTTCATCCCACCTCACTGTGCAATGGTATAAGCTCCACTGCTTATACCATGGGCTGGGTTCACACTTCACTCTTCACCCTGTGCATGTGGATGTATTTTATGTTGTGAGTTTTTTTTTTTTTTTTTTTTTTTAAGTGTGTGAAATTTGTATTTGAAATAAATTTGTAACTGTGTTTTATGTTATGAATTTATGTGTGGTGTTGTGAAATTTTGTGCTTATGAATCCAAATTAAGTAATTAAATCATATTTGAAAAATAAGTAAATATATAATATGTGTATGTGGATACTTATCCGTGATATAAATTGTCTCAATAATCAGTATTGATTGGAATAAACTAAACCTCCCATCTCATCTCATATAATAATGTAATGAAATTGTAATTTAGGAGAGGAGATTTCGTTGCAGACAAAATTGATGGAATAATTAAATTCTGGTTTAATTTTATTGATATTTTTATTAAAAACTCACATGATCTTAATCTAAATTATACTTTTCATCATTTTTTGTTAATAGAAAATATAAGTGTACAAATGATACACATGTTACTCTATATTGATTGACTAAATTATTTGTTAAAACATAATTAGCTAGTATGATGGAAAAATCAATGATGGAACCTGGATTGCCAATTATGTTTTTAGATTTAGATTTTAGAAGAAAGTAATACTATTCTATTAATTTACGAAAAGTAACATGCAAAATGATCAATTAGTATTAAAATCATTCCTTATATAATGAACATGAAAAATTTTAACTAGAAAAATAGCGAATTGTTAAAAAATAAATAAAAGGAGCAACAACAACACTATACTAGCAAGTAGCAACAACAACTCTTGTTCATGTTCAGTTAAGTTACCATGATTTACATCCTCCCAAATACTCTGTCGGGTCGGGGTGTGAGGGGTCCTTAAGGTTGGGGTTCAACCTTTTAGAAGAATGAAGTCATATATGACTATTGACTTTTTGTATACTCCTAATATATTATATTTATTGTTGTTGAATTGAAGTTGATGCTATAAGTATAATGTAAAGAGTTTCCTATAAGCAACTCGATACGATAAGTATATTTCCGGTTAAAACAATTCCTTTTTTCTTAGATTGTGACATTGTGTGTAATGTTTTATTTTTATTTTTTCGTGATTCTAATTGTAAATTATTGATTTTGTACTCAAAGAATATGTTTATTTATGTTTGTCTTAGCACTTTATTTGTGAGGTAAATGAGTATCCAATGCATACTTGAAGGAGACGTGGAACAAAGACCCTCTTGGCTCTTGCTTCTCAAAGACATGTGACGACTCCATATATAGTATACATTAAAAGTTGCACCACACACCCTGCCAAGATTTATTATGTCATCAATTAACTTTGACGATGAATTGAATTGAACCTTCCAACCAAATTTCCAAACTGTATGAGATCAGAGCACAAATATATCAATTAAAGAAAATTCGAAAAAGGAAATGTGATAGCTAGGCATATGCAGCTTAATTATAATTTATTTTGCAATGAGGACATCAAGTCATACATCTTATAATTCACAACGTAACATTAATTGGTATAATTCACAACATTAATTGGTAAGGAAGCAGATGTTTAATTGCATGTGGACGGTTCATAAGCTGGATTTATTGAACAAAGACAACAACCACCATTAGAATTTCACATGTCAATAAAACAACATTGCGTTGTACACCTTGGTCCAAAACAACATTTAAATTATGTGCATACAATTAAAATATTATGGATCTTCAATTAATAAATTATGTGTATGAAGTTAACATATTATGTGTCCGCAATTTATTTATCGACACAAAATTTGTTAATTAAAAATATATAATAATTTATTAAGTGCAAACATATAATTTCGATGTTGTTTTGAATCCTGGTTCATAATGCAAAGATGAACCCTGGTTCATGGTATAACAATCGGAGGAAGTAAATGGAGTTCAATCAAGAGTCAAAGACCCACTACACCTTTTATATTAATTATGATATGAAAATATCCCTCTTGTAAATATAAATAGAAGTTGATGATTGATTATTAGAGCAATGTTTTGGTATCAAATCAGCGCACCGAAGCTCAATATATTATGTTAATTTGATGTGAGCTTTAAAAGAAAACTGTAGTTCTACCTGGTTTATTTAGCCCCAATGACTGAATGAATGTTAAAAAAAAAAAAAAAAAATGAAGTTCAATTCTTACTAGAAACTTGCATTTCTTCATTATATGTTTGTCACTTTATTGTTGTGTGCAATGGAAAAAGGGAAACTCCTCGAACAGATCAGATTTTCTGGAAACAACAAATTAAACTTCCATGGAAGTAGTGATTGATCGAATTGGTTGCTGGCATTAAAAGCCAGAGTTGAAAATGGCAGCCTAAGTTTTTTTTTTTTTTTTTTTTCAAGATCCCGCGAACATATTGTTAACAGATCATAAGATATTATGAACATTATATGTGTGTGATGGGAATCATGTCCTAAGTGAGAACCAACAAATTCAAATCATTGGTCTAATAGATCTAACGGTTGAAAATAAACAACTTTGTAATATTTATGAAAATGATTCTGCTCTTTTTAAAAATTCCTAATATTTATAAAAATGACTCCTGCTCATTTTTTACTTGATTTCTAATCCATCAGATCTTGCAGATCAATGGATTAGATTTGTCTATAAATTCTCACTTGAAAGTAGTTCTCATATGATTAGGATATATATATATATATATATATATATATATATATATATATATATATATATAAAAGGTTAAGTTCCAATACGGGCGTGCGTGCAAGGGTTAACGTACGACCGGTGCGGATGTACCATTAGTTATGCAAAAACACATCAATAATTTTAGAAAATGCACTACAATGAAATGCACAATTAAGTACACATCACCACAAAACGTACTATTAGATACACACTATTAGGGTATGTTTGGTTGGTGGGTTTTGCACATAGGAATGGGTATGAAAGTGATTGTTGTTGTTTGGTTGATAGGTTTTTAGAACACTACTATGGGTTTTGAATACCCCATCAATTGAAAACCCCATACCCAAATAAAATAAGGGTTTCATTCCCTTATTTATTCTCAAGCACTACTAGTAGTAACCATTCTCATTCCACCCTACTACCAAACATGTTAAATACTTTCACCAAAACCCATTATCATTACCAAGTATTTGATACCCATTCCGATTCCGATTCCGATTCTTATGTGCGAACCAAACACACCCTTAATTGTTTTTAACCCAATAGGGTAGCTCAAGTGGCCGGCACATGAGTTCTCATTGTGGGGGAGAATCCGAAAGTGACGATTCTCTTTGCGCCAGCTCCTATGCCTCTCGGAGCGAACAGGGATTAGTCGACCCGGAACACTAAAAGCCCTTGAATTAATGTATCATAGAATGTTATTAATTTTTGGACTAACCTAATTAAGATGGCATACGGCATACGTGAGCTACTTTAATTTCCACAAAATAGGGATTAAAATAATTATACAGATCGACCAAAAAGTAAAACACATGCGTGCGAACTGAACCAAACGAGCAACAACAATAGTGTGTGTGGTTCCTCTTTCCTCACCATAATCCCTTAGAAAGTATTAAGCCTTCTAAAGAAGGAAAAGTTGAGTTAGACAAGGACCAATGTGGGAAAACCAATAGAGACAAAAAAAAATGCCTTTCACCTTTAAATGTTTTCCCAACACCAATATTGAAAACTACTTGTCATTCTTTTTCGTATATATAAAAGCAAGTAAGATATTGAACCACCAACTCCGTCGTCCATTAGTACGTCGTGAAGCAGCTAGCTAGCAGTACGTTCTTCAGGTTCAAATCATTCAATCTCTCTTTAACCCTAAATTATATTATATTCTTCCTAATTTCAGCTGCTGGCTGCTCAGAAATTCATGATTTTCTTCTACCACTTACATACTATACATCATTAAAAAGAAAAAACAAAAAACAAAAATGCTTATATGTCTTCAGCTTCAAGGTTCTCAAGCTACACAACTTTCAGGTAACGAGTTACATTTAAATTTTAATTTGTTCTTTGGTAGATAGATAGATATTGCTGGCTTTGATATATATAAATTAAAGATGTTAATTTGATCTATCGTATCAGCTGTTTGATACTTGTGATGGGGGTTGAATTTGTGTGGAGTTTCATGCTGTGCTGCCTGGATGTTTGGTCCTTGAGGTTCAGGACCACCCTGCTATATACTCCTATCCATTTCTTCATCATTTGCATTGGTGATTGGGTAAACTAACATACCATTTTTTATTTTTTATTTTTTATTTTCCTTTTCCAATGCTATATATATATATATATATATATATACTCATTCATCATATCATAATTAATAATAATAGTGATATAATGCAAGTGGTAGGTTTTGTATGTCTCGGTGTTGCATGCGCACTGGCTGTGGTGGATTTTCAATACAAGTATGATAGTTGCTATGAGGGGTTCATGCCATGCAACATGTATCGGCTATCAATTGCACTAGCATTTGTGGCTTGGTTCTTTATAGCTATTTCTGCTAAACTTATGTTTTGTCTTGTAGCATCATCGTATTAATAGGTAACCTGGCTTGCGTGCTACTTTACCTACGTACGTTTTGTTGGTATCTTAATTAAAATTGTACGTTTTTGAGTATGTAGGTATTAGTACTGATAGCAATTGAAGTTTCCCCCTTCAATTCTCAGTTACGTTGCCTGCATGTTTGGGTTAGGGTGAATTCTGATGTAATTTGAACACTAAAACCCCCTGAATTAATGTATCATAGAATGTAATGCATGCATTGGTGGTGTTATTATTATTATGTAATGCATGCGTTGTTGTTGTTATTGCTATTATTTGTTGGACTTGATGACCTAATTCAGATGGCATACCTGAGCTACTTTCAGCAAATTATACTCTATGGACCACTGATATGACAAATGTTTTCTTTTTTAGTCTATTGAAATTTGAAAATTCATTTTTAATATATATATATATAATTCAGTTTATTAAATATAAATCTTAATAAAATTGAAATTTCAATATAGTGAAAATGAATATTTATTTCACTGATCAACCTTAATTATAATTTGAACCACAACATAATAAAAACTATCTAACTTTATAATGATTGGCTGTTTAATTTCTTCATGGACCATGGCTTAACAAAAAGCTAGTATCTTGCGTAATAA